GATGCCATTTTGCGGGGGGGGGGGGGGGCGTTCTCCAACAAAGTCGTGCACCGCTCGTTGCGAACTGGATGTGCATCGTGGTTCCATGCAATGACACTAACAGCATAATTGAAATTCAGTTGCTAAACACACCAAGGTGTAATTGCATACGGGGACGGAGAAAGACACCCAGGTCCAGTGCTCGAACACACACCCTCAGTGCAGCTGGCTATGGCACGGACATCAGCCCCGTTGAAAGGGACAGACGCCCCCACCTCCTGGGTTGGAACCGCTGGACCACTCAGATGCACAGGCTCAGCGTTATAACACCGCAGGCATTAGCCCCATGATAGACACCCAGGATTTGGCTCAGTATGGTACAGCACTCCGACAAGCATCCTGTCCTCAGGGACACCCTGGCCTCACCCTGGCCTCACGCGTTTAACATTCTCCGACACATACTCTTTGGTTCTTTCGGTAAAGTCACGTAGGCAGAAAAAAATAATAGATCACGACGTTGCAATCGAAACGTCGTGATCTATTTTTATTTTTCTACCTCCGTGACTTTACCGAAAGAACCAAAGAGTATGAATTCCTGCAGTCACGAAAGCTTCAAATCAAGAACTCTCCTACACGTTTGTCCATTGCCCCAACATGATAATCGCCCATACTCTTTGGTTCCATTGGGTAAAGTCACGTAGGTGAAAATAAAATAACAAAAAATCACGACGTTTCGGCCACAACACGAGCGGCCTTCATCAGGTGAAGGGACGAGACTGTCTGGAGGACAGCGCTGGAGTGAGAGAAGCCACGCTTAGATCACGACCTTTAAGCTGTGTGAGAAGAAAAACACAAAGCGCCTTGACAAAGGAATTATCATATAATTTAGCATTGAAATGGCTCATTGAAATAGCTAAGTTAAAGTATACACATCCGCAGAGGCACCCCTTGACAAAGGAATTAGCATATAATTTAGCATTGAAATGGCTCATTGAAATAGCTAAGTTAAAGTATACACATCCGCAGAGGCACCCCTTGACAAAGGAATTAGCATAGAATTTAGCATTGAAATAGCTGAGTGATTAGCTAGTAACTGGTCACAGAAATAGCTATGTTAAAGTCAGAGCATATACATTCACCGAGGCACCTAGTACTCATCAAACAGGAGAATTTAGCGAAACACAACCACGCTCAGACAGCGGACCTTTAAACTGTGTGCAAGCAAACAAGGTGTTCTGACAAAGAAATTAGCATAAAAATTAGCATTTGATTGGCGGATTTTAGGAAAGAGGTGGTGTACGTGCCGGTGGACTTGCCGTTTGGCGCGGGGGGGGGGGGGGATTTACCTATTGATGGTGTGAAAAGGGAATTTATAAGATCTGCGAAAGTTTGGGGTACCACTACTTGAAAAAATATACTGTACCATTGAAATTAGTTTAATATTTAGTTCGATTTAGAACATCTTTCCAATAGTTGCTTAATTTGAAACCATCCTCTCGGTTGAAATTGTGTCTGTGTTTTTAGATCTGAATTGCTTCATGAACAAATCTCTGATAAAAGCCCGTGGGTTTGCAAAGAACCTTGGTATCAGAGAAAATTATATCGTGATCCCCCACAGCGTTGTAACAGTGATCAGCCACGGCAGAAGAATTCGTTTTGCCGTGTTTCAAATCTGATTTGTGCTCGCGAATTCGGTCAGAGACATGTCGTTTTGTCTCCCCGATATAGCAATCACCGCAGGTACAACTCAATTTGAAAACCCCGGGGTACTGTAAATCAGGGATGACATCCTTCACGGATGGGATCAGATCACGAATTTTGTGTACTGTATTGAACCGGACCTGAATCTTGTGTTTGTTTAGAATTTTGAAAATCGTTTTAGTAACGCCTGCTATATATGGAAGTGTGATGGTTTTGACCGGAGTATCAAGTGGTTGTTTCTGTATGGAGGGAGAAACAGCCATTTCAATGCTAAATTATATGTTTATTCCTTTGTCAAGGCGCTTTGTGTTTTCTTCTCACACAGCTTAAAGGTCGTGATCTAAGCGTGGCTTCTCTCACTCTAGCGCTGTCCTCCAGACAGTCTCGTCCCTTCACCTGATGAAGGCCGCTTGTGTTGTGGCCGAAACGTCGTGATTTTTTGTTATTTTATTTTCACCTATGTGACTTTACCCAATAGAACCAAAGAGTATGGATCCTAGCAGTCACGAAAGCTTTAAATCTAGAAATGATAATCGCCCCTCCGAACCTTTGACCCGGCGGGACTTTGATTAATTCGCTGACTCCGTAAGAGGCTACGCACAGCTCAATTACGCGTCCTTATACAACCCCGCCATCACCGTCACCTCGCGACATGCCTGACAGTTCGGGGAGGTTTTGTTGGTGGTGGTGGTGTTGTTGTTGTTGCCGTCGTTGTAAATTTCCGAACCGGGACACTTCATGACCGATTTTGACGCCCGGCAAAATTTACGTCGCCGAGGACAAGGGCCGTCGTCTCACGGGGGCAAGGGCCCTGCGCGGGCGGAGGAAGGGCCGCTTGTGGGTTTTTTTTCCATTCGCCACCACAACCACCACCTCCGATGTGACTGCCGCTGGCTTGCTGCTGGAGCGTGGTCTAAAAATAACGCCCGTGCCTTGGACGAGGCAAGGGCGATGCTGCCGCGCAATTAACAGCGGTCGAAGCCTCTCTCCCTCTCTCTCCCTCCCACTCCCCTCTCTCTCTTTTTCTTTTTTTATTCTTTTTTTCTATGGTGTGATTATCCACATTGTACAGACAAGAGATTCTTCCTTCTCTAAGTTGTAGTCTTCCATATTGGCCCTCGTGACGATGGAGATACACGTTTCAATAATATTCCGCATCACAAGCCATCTGCCAATTGGCGTACTGCGAACACCGAATTTATGGCTGGGTGAACCTAAGGGAGCGACTTCAACCTGGAAGTTACTCAGTATTTCTGCGTGAAGTTCATTTCTACAAATCGGTAAATTTCTAAAGAGCCATGTCACTCACATGAGTATCACAAGTTTTTCAAATCCTACCAGCATCGATTTGCGTGAAACTTACAAAGTAATGCGTATAAAAGGAAACTCGCAAAACGTTGCATCTTCGCGGTTGAGCTGTCTCATAACGCCAAAACGCTACTCTCTCCCTCTCTCTCTCCCTCCCTCCCGCCGGTGGAGCGGACCGCGAGCGTCAGCGCGCGTCGTGAACGCGCCCCGCGTTGCCCTTGAGAGAGCGGGGGAGTCGTGATGTGAGTGCCCTCTCTCTCGGGGAGCGGTGGCGCGGCGGTTAGCGCGCTGCGCCATGAACCCCACCCCGACTTCGATCCCCGCTCACGGCCACCAACAAACAGTGACGATTATCCGAAGCGGTCCTTGGCCTCCCCCCCGAGGTCAACTTGGCTTCGATTGAGTACCCGGTGTGCTGTGTAAACATCGGCACGAGGGAGGCAAAAGCGGATGGGCATGGTGCTGGCCGCTCACTCCCCCCCCCCCCCCCCCCATATGGGCCGTTCTGGCCGTCGTAGGGGCTTATCGATAACAGCACTTGCCCCAACAGTATCTTAAGGCTACACGGGGGATCTTTGTCTTTGGGCTCTCTCGGGGAGTGGTGGCGCGGTGGTTGGCGTGCTGGGCTATGAACCCGCGAGCGAACCCGAGTTCGATTCCCGCTCACGGACGATGTTCGTGGTGAATATCTGAACCGGTTCTGGCACTTCCGCAGATGGGCTCAGCCTTAAAACCCCTGTCATTCCGTCCATCATAGGTGCTCGCCAACAGCACTTGCTCCAACAGCCTGAGAAGGCTATACAGGGATCTTCGTCTTTGTGCGTAGAACTGACACCACTACCCAACCCATGGGCCTCATTTGCCCTTACTTGTCATTCGCTGGCATCGCCCTCGTGCCCTGGTGGTCTCTTACTCGAGCCGTCTGTTTGTGTTCCCCGCAATTATGGCAGCGTGTTCCAAATGCGCTATCGGCTTTATGTCGTGAGGCATTTCCATTGATAACTCGGTGCTCCACGTCGAGCCAGAGAACAGCCGTCGTTTCGCTTAAAACGGGTCCTTTGGCACACACATGCACACACCAGGTGCCACGCATTCTGTATGACCTGGGACCTGGCAGTGTGTTTAATGCTCAGCGTTGTAATTGGCCAAGCAGGCGACAAGGGCCATATATATACACGAGTAGTGGTTCCACTTTATTTGTGTGGCCAGTGACGCTGAATTAATGTCTGCGATAAACACTTGAAATAAGTGGGGTTATCGAGTGATCCGCTCTCGTTGACCGTGTAAATAAATCGGTACTGTGGAACCCAAGTATTTTTGCTACTTGAGGTTGTACCGATTTCTGGTCTGGCGCGTGGACCAATTAGTGGCTCGGCTGATCGATGACGAGCTCGCCACCTTTGTGAACTTTAGTTTGGTTCGCTTCATTGTGACCGTTATTTATCCGAACTTTAGGGGATTCACTTTGCTACATGCCCTGCTGCAGATGAATGTTCCTTTCGTGGCAATCAAAACCGATACAGTATTTTCTTGCAATTCTGAGAGATGGTATTCTGTCACTGCATAGCGTGCTATAAGATGGTGCTTCTGCGGCCGTCTGGAACGCTCTTCCTTCCGATATTGAGAAGCCACTGGAGCTATACACTTCAAAATCTAGATTGAAGATTCACTTTTTAGAAATACTTTTTGTGTTTTAGTTTGTTGTCCTTCCCCCGCACCTCCGAATAGTACGGATGGCTACATACGGCGCGAAAGAAGTTGAACATACACACAGTAGGGAGCGGTAATTCAGTGGCTAGCATGCTGCTGTTATACAAACCCGGCGAATGGACTTCAACATCAATGGCGAATATCTCCCATGCCGACGCAGCCTTAAAACGAGTGCCCGGGTGCGGTGCGTGAACGTCAGCATTTTGTGCAGACGAAGTCGTCCGTGCAGCGCGTCGGCCACACCAACCCATTACGCGTGCCGCTGGGGCGTATGCACGTTGTTGTTGTTGCCCCCTGATCAGTGAAGGCGGAGGCGCTGCGCGAGTGGCCCCACAAGAGCAATGGGCCAGGGAGCGGAGGAGGGAGCAGCGTGAGCGTCCCTGGAAGCAGCGCGGGGGTGCAGGGAGGCCTGGCGAGAGGGGACCTGGGGAGCTGCAGTTCGGAGACGAGCGGGCCGAGCGCCCCCGCCCTCTCGGGCAACACCAGCGAGGTGAACGTAACCCCAACGCCGGGCTGGCTCTTTTTTTTGTTGTTGCATCCGCGAAGCGATTTTTCCCTCGCGCTGCCTCCTGGCTGCCCGCTGCTTCTCAGCTGTAAGCTTTTTTTTTTCGTTTTCGTTTTCAGGAAAGGCCCACTGAGCTATATATAGCTGCTCTTTATTATTTTGCAGGAGCGACCTGCCCGCAAACGGTAGTTCCAACGAAGTAGCTTGTCGTGTGGAAATTTGTGGCAGCCAAACACTCCAAACGCATGTGGACTCTAAATGCGGTGGGAAAAAAACGGAGGACCCAGAGAGAAAAATCCACGTGACCACGGGGAGGGAGATACATCCAAACTCAAAATATGCAGCAGGTGTCACAGTTGTGATCGAACCCACGACCACCTGTGATCCAGGCGAGGTATTTAACATCCCCACACCGTGGCAAACCCAGCTGTGGATGTTACCACCAGACAGTTCGGACAATGCAGGCATGAGAGACGGGCAAGCAAGCGGATCTTAAGAGCCGCGCACCGCAGAGCTCAGTGCAAAATGTGTCAACGGTGGGGTGTTAGAAGACCCGCCATAAATCACCCATCGTCATCATTCGTAATAAGAAAAAATTGTGCAGGCCGAAACACCGCAAGTTTTAAATAACGCACAGAGACGCGTGCAAAATGCACTATCGGCTCTTGTTGTGTTGTCCAAAAATCCATCAGCAGTTCCTGACGGGCAGCATTGTGCCCCTCTTGGTTGATGTCACCATCAAAATAAACTGGACCCAATGTGACCAACCGAGAGGCAGCAGCGAGACAGATATAGACGACAACTGTAGAACGGTTTCGTTCTTGTTGGGACTCATCAGTACAGTTTCGTCAGTCACCAAAGCTGCAGAGAGCACGATGCATATACACACAGAGAGCAGACAGCACAATGTACACACAGCAGATCAAACGGCCAATTGTAAACATAATATACCAGACAATGGGCTGTACACACACATGACACATGCGACAACAAACTGTGTATGTACAGCATACGAGATGGACATAGCAAGCAGACCTGTACGCAGCAGCTCAGGTGGCAGGCTGTAAGCACAGCAAGAAAGACCAGCAGGACAGATGTTAAATTTTAAACAGCATGCAGACTATGAAGTAGATTGTACACCAAACAACATTCCACTTATGTACAATTTCCTGCCTATGTGTTTGTACGATCACTCCTGTGTCCACGTGTGTCCACGTGTTAGCGCGCTGTGCCACAAACCCGGCGAACCGAGTTTGATTCCCGCTCAGTCCTGGGCCTCAAATGAGCAACTGGTGTGATACTCTTTGGTTCTATTGGGTAAAGTCACGTAGGTAAAAAATAAAATAACAAAAATCACGACGTTTCGGCCACAACACAAGCGGCCTTCATCAGGTGAAGGGACGAGACTGTCTGGAGGACAGCGCTGGAGTGAAAAAGCCACGCTCAGATCACGACCTTTAAGCTTGCACAAGCTTCGTCCCTTCACCTGATGAAGGCCGCTTGTGTTGTGGCCGAAACGTCGTGATTTTTGTTATTTTATTTTTTACCTACGTGACTTTACCCAATAGAACCAAAGAGTATGGATCCTTGCAGTCACGAAAGCTTCAAATCTACAACTGGTGTGATGTGTAAACATCGCCGCTTGGGAGACAAAGGCGGCCGGGCGTGGTGCTGGCCACCCAGCCCCTCTTGTCCCGTGTCGGCCTTCATAGGTGCTCGCCAGCGGCACTGTTAAAGGCTCAACGGGGTGGGGATGTTTGTATTTGTGTGCGCACACGTTTCTCAGGCTTCCGTTGAGGACACCACGCAGATCCTGCCCAGGGTTCGGAGGTCACGAACTCTCACCGGCATTACAGCGTTGGCCAGGTCGTCCATCACAGGTGAGGAGGCCACACGGCTGGCCGGCTGGGGCTGTGGCGTGGCTCAACGACGGCAATCGACGGGGCCGTGACCGGCGGTTGCCCCGGTTAAACGCTGACAGCACCATTAAGCGTTAAAAGAACTGTGCGAGACGTCCGCTTGCTTGCCCGTGGACGTGAATTCGTTCATCAATTGGGATTACAGTAGTTGCTGTGCAACTACCGCAGACTGTCCGTGAAAGATAGCAGCGCCTTCCTTGGTGATAGCTTGCACAATTACAGCTGCTGCCAAACGAGGATGGCGTGAATGCCACATCGGCAGTACTGGCTATGTACAGTGCGAAAGAAGTTCAACATACATACATTATTTTTCAATATTATATCTCTCTCTCTTCTCCCTATCTTATCCATGAACACCCCACTGCTGGGCAAGTCCTCTGCCAATATATTTAGCTCTTCACAGACTCTTGGCACCACCATCTAGCACGCTCCTCCAAATCTTCGATTGCCTCTTCCTGCCATCTAATTTGACGTCTGCCTCTCTTTCCCCTGCCCTCCTACTGGCCTCCTTCCTGTTGTTCATGCCGCTTTATTCTTGTACTCTGATTAGTCGTCTTCTGTCGAATGTGAACGGCAACATTTATGAGGGCAGATCGAGCTCTGATACCCATTCAAGAGCATCGTCGGACGCGTATTGACTTCTCGTCGTCCTGCCGGCCAAACCGATTGTCAGGGGCGACTGTTGACGGCGAATTTCATTGCGTGAAGTTCGCTCACATCTGCAGCCTCGGATCGTCTGGCAATCATCGCCACTCGTGCATCAGATGCGATGCACATCGCCCATGGGAGGTGCCGATGTGGTTTATGATCGCCCACTGCCACCGGCAGAGGGATGATGGGGTGCTTTGGATGATGGGGCTTCAGTAAAAGCATTATGAGTGGTGTCCTGGAGGCTTATTCTGGGTTAGAGATGATGAGCCAGCACTGCTGAGACCATGGGTTGAATAGGCACATAACTGTGAGTATACTAAACAAATTATTTAGTGATACTAGCATTTTATTTGTCATATAGAAGGGTCATTTCCTGAATTGTTATGTATTATATATAGTTTTTCTCTTTTAAAGCAGTGTTTTTTTACGGATGTGTTGAGTTTTTTTTCCGATTGGTGGTCTCAGCCCGGTCACAAATCTCCCCTCCACAATATTATTATTTTTCACTTCACCAATCCACACTGACGACCATGGTGAAGTATGGTCAAACAACCCCCATGACTGACAAGGTTTTGGGAGACCTTCGTTTGGGAGTGGCTTTACAAAAGCCTTGACAGCTGTTTATGATTAAACTAATCTGCACGATGATGACATTATCCTTCAAGTGTCTAGTGGCAGTAAACTTCAGGAAACGTTGGAATAACTTAATAAAGACGGCTGGCTGCAAAGTTGGCCTCAGGATAATTCCGATCGAGAAAACTAAAGTTCACGCTCAACGAAATCGCTAAATAACCAGAGACATCTGTCGGAGAGGCACGGGATCACACCGATGAGACCAAGAGGCGGTGAAGAGCAAGCCTGGAGTGCTTTTGGAGTAAAACTGAGATTGACAATGAAAAGTCACGACAGACGGCACTGCTGCTTGAGAAGAACGCTTTTAATGGGTGGGTACCGCCTGCTGTGACATTTGGAATCAGAAGCGCTGCAGTCATCGACGAAAAATACAGAACAAATACTAAACGGTGGGCAAAGAAGCACAGGGAGATCCGCACATGACTGGCATTGCATTCGAGAAGGCACGCAATTTTATTAACATGGTCCAAACTCTGACGAAAAGTGAGTGGGCTTGGGCAGGATACATTGCCAGAAGGGAATATGGCCGGTGGATAAGAATAATAACAGAGTTGCAGCCAAAGAATGGAAGGCGTATATCGGAGGGTGCGTCAGCCGGGGGAGACGGAGCGATGAAATTGATTTGTGTGCAGGTGCAAGGCCAGGGGTCGGCAACCAAAATAACAAGAATTCGATGAAAACAAAAAACTCCGTTTCAAGAGCCGCAATGCAAGCGAATATCCTCATGAAGCAGACCCTAAGGAGCCGCATGTCGACCCCTGTGCTCGGTGGATTATTGCATTGCAGAACCATAGGTGGTGACTGTGGTATTGGCTTGGGGGGGGGGGCCTCATCCAGCAGTGGATTAACCATTGCTAATGGTGATGATGATGATGATGGAACTAATATGTACGCACGTCTATGTACAGCAGGTCTGTTTGTGTATGTGGCGGTGCGCGTGTAGGCCTGTCGGAGAGCGTGCGTGCCCGTGTCACCAAGCCCATGGCGCGGGGCCGCGTGGCTCACCTCATCGAGTGGAACGACTGGGACCACGGCCACGTCCAGTCCTACCACGTGGGCCCTCCAGCACCTACACCGCCTACACCACTGCTACCTACACTACTACCACCTATACCGCTACGCGACCACATACACCGCTATCCTACCACCTACACGAGCATGTACACCACTACCGCCTACACCGCTACCACCTACACCACTGCTACCTACACTACTACCACCTACACCGCTACGTGACCACATACACCACTACCCTACCACCTACACGACCATGTACACCACTACCGCCTACACCGCTACCACCTACACCACTGCTACCTACACTACTACCATCTACACCACGACCTGACCACATGCACCACTACCCTACCACCTACACGACCATGTACACCACTACCACCTACACCGCTACCACCTACACCACTGCTACCATCTACACCACGACCTCACCACATGCACCACTACTGCCACAATCACAGATATAACCTACACCACTATTATACCACGTGCACTATTACCATCTACACTGCTACCCTACCACATATACCACTACCACCACACACACCACTACCACTTACACTGTTACACGACCACACAGACCACTACCACCACATACACCACCACTACCACTCACGCTGCAAACCCGACCACCACTACCACCACGTTCACAGACATCACCTCTACTGCATACACCGCCACCTCCTGCTCTTCATACACAGCTTCCAAATACACCACGTACATACACACACATACCTACACACATATACACACACACACATTGCTACACGCATACACACACATACCTACACACACACACATAGACACCTACCACCGGACACTGCGGAGATGCAGTGTGTGGGAGACACTGCATTGGGAGTTTTTTGTGGGGAGCGGTAGTGTAGTGCTTAGCGGTTGGCGCACTGCGCTATGAACACAGCGACCTGAATTCGATTCCCGCTCATGGTCAACACCAGTAGCGATTATCTGAACTGGTCCTGGGCCTCCCCGAGGTTGACTCAGCCTCAAATGAGTAACCTGGTGCGGTGTGTAAACATCGCCACTGGGGGAGACAAAGGCGGTCGGGCGTGGTGCTGGCCACCCACCCCCTCGTGTGCCGTACCGGCCTTCATAAGTACTCGCTAACAGCACTTGCCCCCACATTCTGTTGAGGCTACACGTGGGATATTTGTCTTTGTGTGTTTTGTGCACAGGAGTCGACGCTTTACACAGACGATCCATACTGCGACACCACCGACATGGTGGATGGGGAGAGAGAGGCGCGCTTTGCTGAGGGTACCTCTCCCTGCACACACACACACACAAAGACAAAGATCCCCCATGTAGGCATGAGCAGGCTGTTGGGGCAAGTGCTGTCAGCGAGCACATCTGAAAGCCAACACGGCAAACGAGTGGTTGGTGTGGCCAGTACCATGCCCGGCTGCCTGAGTGATGCTTACGGACCGCACGAGGTATTCATTTAAGGCTCAGTCGACCTAGGCGAGGGCCAGGACCGCTTCGCATATAACTCAGCGCTAATGTTGGGCATGGATAGTAATGAAAGTCAGGTCACTGGGTTCGTAGCGCAGTGTTCTAACCACAGCGCCGTCGCAGCCCACGCAGACTTCAGTGTGCTCTCGCACTCACACGTGCACACGAAGCAAAGGTCCCCCGTGTAGCCTTGACAGGCTGTTGGGGAAAGTGCTGTTAGCGAGCACCTATTAAGGCCAGCACGGCACACCAAAGAGGTGGGTGGCCAGCACCACGCCTGACCGCTTTAGTCTCCCCAGTGCTGTTTGCATATTGCACCAAATTGCATTTCAGGCTGAGTCGACCCTGAAGAGGCCCAGCACCAGATATTAGTCATCGGTATTGGCCGTGAGCGAGAATTTAACACGGGTCTCCGGGTTTGTGGCGCAGTGTGCTAATCAGTACACTACCGCTCCCCACATAACACACAAACACTCACAGGGAGTATGATGGTTGAACCAGCAGGGTTCTGTGTGGTTCCCTGTCAAGGCCGTAGCCATTGAGTCAACATTGGGGGGGGGGGGTTAAATCTTCCAGGGGGTCTAGGGGTCCCCCCCCCCCAGAAAAAAAATCTAAATTTGAAAACGAATTTCCTGCCATTTCTCTGCCTAAAATAAAACAAAAATTACTAACACATAGGATGGACTAATGGTGTTATTGTATTACATTGCTCTGTTTTTTTCTTATTTACCTGTTTTTGTTTCATCGTATGTAATGTGTAGAGATTAGGGATTAATAAAGTACAACCATAACCACAATCATATCAACAGAAATCTATTTTATAGCAATATATTTGGGGGGGACATTTTGAGCATATTTAAATATTGGGGGGGGTATCTGTCCCCCCCCCCCAATATATAATAATTACGGCCTTGTTCCCTGTAATGCAGTGCGGTGCTGTGTGGTTCTCTGTGCGCTTCTGCGGTGCAGGTGTGGCACAGCAGTTTGCCCTGAGTGAGGCTCGGCTCAGGGCCTGGTCGTCCGGGGAGGGAGATGGGGAGGACGGGGACATGGGGGATGGGTCAGGGGAGTGGGTGCACATCCCCAGTGTGCACACGCCCTACCACACCAGCAAGGGTACGTACACTCACACACCTACACACACACACACGCCTTATCACATCAGCACGGGTACGTACACACTCACACACACACACACCTACACACCTACACACGCCTTACCACACCAGCACGGGTACGTACACACACACACACCTACACACGCCCTACCACACCAGCACGGGTACGTACACACACACACACGCCCTACCACACCAGCACGGGTACGTACACACTCACACACCTACACACGCCTTACCACACCAGCACGGATACGTACACACTCACACACGTACCTACACACGCCCTACCACATCAGCACGGGTACACACTCACACACCTACACACGCTCAACCACACCAGCACGGGTACAAAGAGGAAGATCCCTGTATAGCCTTAAACATACATATTTCCACACGCACTTACACACCGGTACAGGTAGTCACGCGCGCACACATGCGAGTACACTCACACGCATGTACGCACTGAGACCACGCACAGGTCAAGCACGAAAGCACGTGTGATCCTTGCGGCACCAATACGGCCACGTACGCGGCACGCAGTAACAACACAGCTGGTGTTTTCCGCTCAGAAGGCAGCAGTGTCACCACGGTGGCTGTACTGAGCTGTACATGTCCAGCAATCTGTAAACCCTCTCTCTGCTGGTCGTAGGGATTATGTGGCTATGCTTGGCCACACTCGCTGGCGCAGGTTGGTGAAGGTGGGCGGCATAGATATGGGGAGTGCAGGGTTGGTACGGTATAGGGCTAGTGTAGGGTTAGTGTAGAGCATTTCTAGATTTGAAGCTTTCGTGACTGCAAGGATCCATACTCTTTGGTTCTATTCGGTAAAGTCACGTAGGTAAAAAACAAAACAACAAAAATCACGACGTTTCGGCCACAACACAAGCGGCCTTCATCAGGTGAAGGGGCCACACTGTCTCGAGGACAGCGCTGGAGTGAAACACAGCCAAGCTCAGACCGCGACCTTTATGCTGTGTGAGAGAAATGAAGGTGCCTTGACAAAGGAATTAGCATAAAAATTAGCATTTAATTGGCGTAGAGCAAATTAGCAGTTTAGCAGTTTTCTTCACTCATTTTCAGAAGGGGGGGGAGGCACTTTCGCCGATAACTGCTAACTACAACCATTGTTTTTATTTTACCAGGTAAGGCCCGCGGAACTATATTGCTCTTTTTCAGAAACGACCTGGCCACAAATGATAGCTCAACGAAGTGGCATATCACGTGGAAATTTATAGCAGCCAAATACTCGTGTTGATTCCAAATATACAGGTGTCAGGATCGGGATCAAACCCACGACCTCCTGAATACCAAACGAAGTAGTTCACATCTAGCCACCGTGGCGTCCCTAAGACATCGGCGTGAGGGCTGCCACACCGCCTGCAAAGAGGCTGTTTTCACATTTGTCGACTGTCGGGGGCCACACGTCAGGGACCGCACTAAAGGCCACCAGGGGCTACCGGTGGCCTGCGAGACCTTGCAATGAAGAACGCTGCTATAGAGTTAGGGTACAATACTGGCTTTTGGTGCACCGTCCTCCGCTTTCCCCGCACGTTGCCCCGCAGCGAGACCAGAAACTGGCCATGCGTATGTCGCGGTCGCGCGACCCAGGCTCAATTAACCCCTGCTTAGTCCGACGAGATCAGGCGCATTCCGGCCGATTTGGCCATAGGCGTGTCGCATTCAAGTGCCCTTCTTGTGATGCATTCATTAGCGGAGGCTCGTCAGTGGACACACCCGGGGGGTTGCCAAGTGCCGACAGAGCAGGGTTAATGGAAGAGGAGCGAGCGGCACTCACAATCCCCAGCATGCCATCCCACCGCCCGATATCCACCCAACACTGTTGCCGGAGACTGTGTCTGTGCGTCTGTGTGTCTCTGCGTCGTAGTTTATATGTGTCTGAGTTTCTATGCGTCTGTGGGTCTGTGTGTCAGTGCGTCTCTGTGCATCTGTGGGTCTGCGTGGACGTGCGTCTCTCTGTCTGTGTATCTGTGTGTTTGTGCATCTGGGTGTCTATTTGTCTGTGCGTCTGAGTGTTTCAGACAGACAGACGTATCTGTAACCATATCGGGAGCCCTTTGAGACTCTTTATCAAGGGATACTTGAGTCACTAAAGCTACAACTGCACATGTACACAGTGAAGACACGGGACCAAGCGTCACAAAACTGTCAAATTCCATAAATAAACCTTTAAATTAAAGGCGATATCAGATTTTTTTAAAAAAATATATTTCACGTAAAAAAAAATACTGACGCGCAAATGAACAATATAAGCAAGATAACGACCACCGCATGATGCAGAAGGCGATGATGAAACGTGTTTACGTTCGGACTGCACAACCAATAAATCCACTTTGTTGCAGAAAACCAATTGAGAGAGAACAGTCGTTAAATGTAAAAGACGATCTTGTAGGCAATGTTCAGTGAAGCGCCGTGGATGATGGAACGTTCTCCGCATCTTAACTCCCCGCGTGCGTGGAGCAACGGTGGTGAGCAGCGCACTGGACTTGCAATCCCGAGGTCGACGGTTCGGTTCCATCTCCCGGCGCGGGCAATTAAAACAATGGGAGTGAGTTTCTTAAATCTCCCCTCCCCCCCCCTCCTCCCCCACCCGCTCCCTCCTCTGCCTCTGTCCACCCAGCAGGTGTAACCGGATTACACCACAGGTCGCGTGTGGTGGGGCAAAGTGTGGGTTTAGTCCCACCTAACTTCCAACACGCCTGGTCCGCGTGGAAGAGTTGGCCAAGTGCCCTCTAGAGCTTCCAGTAGTGGAGGCCCTTATTGCTAGCAGCGGCGTGGGGGGCCCAGCAATTGCAGGGCTGCACTTTTCCCTTTTTGACTGGGCATTGGCATTGTGCGGTGCTGCATGCTCGGAGGTGAGGGTCGAACTCTGGTAAAGGCAAAGCAGATAAGGGGCCGTCCATAAATGACGTCACGCACCTGGGGGGGGGAGGGGTCAGACATTTGTGAAGATGTGTGATAAGGGCGGGGGGGGGGGTGGGGTTGGGAAATTTGACGTCACATCAAAATGCGCAACTTTAAATAAATATAGAATTATACTCTTTGGTTCTATTCGGTAAAGTCACGTAGGTAAAAATAAAATGACAAAAAATCACGACGTTTCGGCCACAACACAAGTGGCCTTCATCAGGTGAAGGGACTGGACTGTCCAGAGAACAGCGTTGGAGTGAAGACAGCAAGCCCAGGTCGCGTCCTTTAACATTAATTGTTATAACAACACTAATTGTTATAACAACACTAATTGTTATAACAACACTCCTACATCATCAGAGTTCAGCGCCTCATTAAATACGCACTACAATGACAATAGTTTAACGCGATTTGAAGCATGTTTTATTTTCAAAATGGAAATATGGTTTTGGGGGGGGGGGGGGGGGCAGAGCTTTGTGACGTCATATTTAAGGGGGGGTCTGACTATTTGTGACGCCGTGTGACGAGGGGGGGGGGGTCAAAAATCGTCCAAAATCGCGTGACGTCATTTATGGACGGCCCCTAAACCGCTCGGTCATTTTCTCAGCAAAGGCACTGAAGATTGCCTGAGACCGGCGTGTTATTGATGGAGGAAGGCAGCCAGTCTTAAGCATGGAGGTGGCAATAATGAACACGGCGGTTCATTGTGCACATATATAATGTGCCAAGAATGTGTGCGTGTCCCGCGCCTTGATGTCACTCCACATGAGGCCCACCCACACCCCCCGTGTGACGTCACGCCACATGAGGCCCACCCCCCCCTCATTAATATTCATGAGTTGGTGGATTTTTACACTAACGCAGAGGAAGGTCGAGCTGAATTAAATAATTTATTACGCAAAGTCGCTTCAAATATGACGTTTATTTACAGAAAGTGATGGTAAAAAATAAGTCTAACCAGCACAGTGCTACATCCGTGCGTGACGTCACTGCAAAAGAGCCCCCCCTTTCATTAATATTCATGCCCGCGTGGAAATTTTTACTAACGCACAAGAAGGTCGCGCACTCCACATGCCGCACACCTCCCCTCATTAATAATCATGAGCGGGTGACGTCACTCTACATGCCGCACCCCTCCACAATAACCATTAGCGGGTGACGTCACTCCACATGCCGCACCCCTCCACAATAACCATAGCGGGTGACGTCACTCCACATGCCGCACCCCTCCACAATAACCATGAGCGGGTGACGTCACTCCACGTGCCGCACCCCTCCACAACAACCATTAGCGGGTGACGTCACTCCACATGCCGCACCCCTCCACAATAACCATGAGGGGGTGACGTCACTCCACATGCCGCACCCCTCCACAATAACCATTAGCGGGTGACGTCACTCCACATGCCGCACCCCTCCACAACCATGAGCGGGTAACGTCACTCCACATGCCGCACCCCTCCACAATAACCATGAGCGGGTGACGTCACTCCATGTGCCGCACCCCTCCACAATAACCATTAGCGGGTGACGTCACTCCACGTGCCGCACCCCTCCACAATAACCATTATCGGGTGACGTCACTCCACATGCCGCACCCCTCCACAATAACCATTAGCGGGTGACGTCACTCCACATGCCGCACCCCTCCACAATAACCATTAGCGGGTGACGTCACTCCACATGCCGCACCCCTCCACAATAACCATTAGCGGGTGACGTCACTCCATATGGGGCACCCCCCCCCCCCCCCTCCATTAATAATCATGAGCTGAACAATTTTTCTATTGAATGTCTCAGATTTACTGCAATATACACCCGTCCTTGGACGGGTAAAAAAACTCGTTGTACGTAAAAAGCCCAAGGGTTAATGGGATACTGGGCCAGAGTTATTTTCAAAACGTACTCGGGAGTAACAAGGTTAGGTAGAATAGGAGATTAAGTCATTCGAAAAAACTTGAATATGGAACGAACAATAACCAAAATCAATGTGGAACAGGCAGCTATGGGTACGGTCATATGAGAATCATACCACCGAGCGGAATCCACGCAAGGCAATGTAGCTCACAGCGCTGAGATTATGGGTTCAAATGCAGGCAGTGGCCTGTGATTAAAACCGGGTTATTGAGTGTAGTGAATTTATGACCTCAGCTCATTCACCAATGACTGCGCACACACAAAAAAATACAATCACATTAAATTTGGTCCTGCACTTAATTTTGCTAAATTCCAGCGCTGAGAATAAAACAATTTCACGTGACAAACATCACTGCCAGTGGCAAGGTGAGTGGGAACGTGCTGCCCCCTACTGTGTAGACCAGAGGTACCAGAGGGTGGCTGAGAAAAATATGGGCTGATGGAGTTGGAGGTGGAGGCCCTAAGATAGCAGAGGAATGGCATGGAAGCATCAGCAACGGATGGGAAATTATTCGAGCCAACAGTAGAGGACTCTTGCTGCTGCTGCCACAAATTCGTTGCCCCAGCGGCGTCCGTTAAGGGCCAGACTGGAAAAAAGGAACTATTTTTGGGGTAGAGACATGTGACCAAGTGGGAGCGCATTCGCCACTTGTTGCAGAGGTCCACGGTTCGAATCTGACAGGCCGCCCTGGTTTTCACTGCGGATGTATTCACGATATGATACTACGTGTCGTTTTCTTCAGAGTGCACGTTAAAGCTCCTCCTGTCGTGATTTGAAACGGGTAGGTCATTGTGTGCCGGCGTCATGCTCAAAATTTGCCAAATTTCAGATACTGCCGGCAAATTATTAAAGTGGGATGACACATAGCAACATTAGAACGTGTCCAACGCAGCAGCGCCTTCCTTCGTGATAGCCTTGCACTATAAGAATGGCACGAATAGCAAATGCACAATTATTTGTATTAGCTCTGCCACTGATCCGTCGTGGCGAACCATGGCCATGCAGGTGGATGTGACAACCTCGTATCAAGTGGACTGCCAGTAACGTGATTTATTTTTGACGTAGAACCTTTCACGTGATTTTTATTGATTGTAAAAAAAAATTGGTAATGTCTTTATTCACTTTGTATCCATCTGACCAACTCAAGTCAGATCAACGACGACCGTTAGTGGAGGACAATAACCGCCCCCCCACCCACCCAACCCCACGTACAGTCAGTCATAAGAATCAGAAGTTTATTTCCCACTTGAGTAAATCCCATCGATGTAAGAATCTCTTTCAAGGGCGACTCTGCCGGCAGATAACGCTCGCATCATCAGCCTATAACACTTTGGCGAGCGAGCGAGAGGCGTAATCTGCTCTTCACCACGCAGATGCAGTTCCGGGCCTGGGTATGAAATGCGAGCGTTAACATTCAGCCATGAATCCAAGGCAGAGGCCAGCATATTTGTAGGATTTGACGTTTTCCGCTGAGCGAGAGAGAGAGAGCTGCACGCGGTGTTTAATTAAAAATACCACGAAGGTTTAAATACCGAGGAGGACTTATGGCTCAGAAGGGATCAGCGTTCACTTTCGCTCGCGTTTCGCAGGAGCCTTATTGATGCGAGGTCCCGCCGATTGTGATTGAAATGCTATTTAATATGTCCCTCATACACAGGTGCTGCAGGCTTATGTAAGGTCGTGTCACGAGCACAACAATTTTCCAGCGGGTCAGCTTTTGTCCAATATATTTATATAAATACAGTTGCTTAGCCCAGGCCCGACTAAAGGTCCAAAAAGTTGAGAGGCAGGCAACGAACAGCACTATCAAAAGCTGCATTCAATTGTGGATCCGACTCACCTCCAGATAAGGAGCGATTTGAACTTGTGTGTATTTTTTTTGTTGCTGATTCTTCACTGGTTGGGAAATCTCTCGAGAGGCATTTGTGTTTCCGCACGTGAAATTATAATTGTGTAACGACTCGGACGGCAAAGAAATTAGAAAAGCCACTTTTTATTTAAAGTTTACAAAGTAAGGGACACTACTAACGAGTTCCACAATGAGGGACCCTCGACTCGTCCCTGTCATCCTACTTGTATCTTCCTCCGAGCGTCCCCACTCTTCGTGCTCTCCACTTGTATCTCCCTCAGGCTCCTCTCTCGAACCTTCTTGTCATTGTTTTAACCTCAAGCCAATCCCTAGCCTTTCCCTTGAACAGATGCTTTTTTTTTCTCGTTCAAGCCTTATTCTCCAATCCCTTTAAAGTCTGCCTCTTTCTTCCAATCGGAGACCGTTGTTTATTTTAAAATATCCATTAGGTCGCATATGGCTTGGCGTGTTTGCATCCGAGTGTCTGTGCTTTTACGTTCCCATACTTATGCATGGCTTTGCATTTGTTTAAATACATCTGTGCATCTACATGTTTGATTTTATGAATGTGTAAAAAAACTATTACCCTTCGATTTAAAGCTATTGTGACTGCAAGGATTCATCTTCTTTGGTTCTTCTTCCCTTCATCCCTTCTTCTTCCCTTCATCCCTTCTCCTGCCCGGCGCTCCTTCTTTCCTCCTGCTGCTTATCGTGAGCCATGCCCCTCTTTATCTTGACTCCCCCCCCCCAACCCCACCGTGGTGTGCCAAAGGGGTAATCGTTTTTTCTTCTTTGGTTCTTTCGGTAAAGTCACGTAGAATTCTAGAATTCTATAATTCTACGTGAATTCTAGAATTCTACGTGACTTTACCGAAATAATTCTAGAATTCTACGTGACTTTACCGAAAGAACCAAAGAAGAAAAAACGATTACCCCTTTGGCACACCACGGTGGGGTTGGGGGGGAGTCAAGATAAAGAGGGGCATGGCTCACGATAAGCAGCAGGAGGAAAGAAGGAGCGCCGGGCAGGAGAAGGGATGAAGGGAACAAGCCACGACTGAACTAAGATATCAGGGAAGAGAGAAGGAATGGACTGGGAAAGAGGGGAGTAATTCAGAGTAGGGGTGGCCGCGCACCTATCCATCAGCACGCCCGTTCACCCGCGCGCCCGTTCCTCCCGCTCGCAGACTGCGACCTGGAGCGATTCCCGTCCTCCGTGTCGCTGTCCGAAGTGCTGCAGGCGCGCCTGCGCCGGCTGGCGGCGGCGCGCACTCCACCGGTGCTCTCGCCCGAGAGCGTGCACGGCGTCCTCTTCTCCCCCGACGGCGTCGCGCTCGAGACGCTCGTGTGCCGCGGCTTCGCCGACGGCTTCGCCTCCGTCGAGCGGCAGCGCTTGCCGGACCTCGCCCAGGGCCTCCTCGCCGCCCCCGAGTGTCTCCCCCTGCAGACGTTTGTCAGGAACGAGGACGGGCGCGCCGGCTTTCCCGTGGGGACGCTCCTGCCTTCGGGAGAGGAGGAGGAGGAGCGGGAGGACGAGGAGGGTGAATTGGAGGGCGAGGAAGAAGAAGAGGAGGAGGAAGAGGAGGAGGACGGGCGGCAGCATCAGCTCGGGGCGCCGTGGGGTTACCGAAATTCGTCGGGTGCGGTGCACTTGCCAGATTTGAAGGCGGAGGTGGCGCCGACATAGGGCGGTCGGGGTCACGCGGCGATCACCTCCGTGCGCGCCCGCGCGCAGACGCATGTACACACGCGCACGCACGCACGTTCAGGCGTAGACTAGCGCGTGATGCATGTGTGCAGGCTGCATGTATACTGCACGGGTGCGTGCGCGTGTGGGCGCGTTTGTTAAACGCTAAACACTTGCACCGACGCGTGTGCACACGCACACGTGCAAAGACACTCATGCGCACGTGCACTACCTTCCTGCAACCCTCCCCCCACACACACACACACACGCGCGCACGTGCTGAGCAAGTGACCGGGAGGGTCGCGGTGCTCCGTGGCTCACCGAGCTTGCGTTGTTATTTTGTTTTGTTTGGTGGATTTCGGGGGGCATCTCTAAATTCGAATGATGCGGAGAAAGTCTCTGTTTGCGGGCGCGTGAGCGAGACACATCTGCTGCGAGGTGAGCGGCCGGGTGAAGTGACTCCAGAAGAGGTTCTGTTTGTGTCATCATCTCAGCCCGTGATAGCGACGTAAAGAGCCTTTGTCTTGTGACTTTCCTGCCAGATGTGTAAGCTAGTGATGCCCCAGTTTTACGTCGGGGGATGCGTTCCTGAAAGGTGCGACTACGAATATCGAAAGGACGTAAAATCAAAGCGATTTATAGGGTAGGTGGTGGTGAAGGCGAAGGCTGAGAGGTGACGGATAACGAGAAAGGACGGACGCTGCTGTCAGCGACGTAAATGTGGGAGTTGAGGCGACGCAAATCGGGAAACCGTGTTAATAATGTGACGACGTATTTGCAAAACGACGTAAAAGGAGGAGACGTGAATCGGGGTACTACTGTACGAATAATAATTTACAGTCTCATGTTAATTCACTTCTGGATGAAGGCCTCCCCATGCTCTTCAGGTCATCGGAGTAGTTTTGACTATACTTCACCACGCTGGTCAGTATGGGTTGGTGACGGTGGGAGGCCCAGGACTGGTTGAGATACTACTCGCCACCAATGTTAGCCATGGCGTGGAATCAAACTGATGTCACAGGTTCATAGCGCAGTGCGATAATTGCTGCTCCACCAATTCCGCCATTCGGTAATACTAATGTCAAATAAACACACCGCTGTGGTATCAGAGGTCAGAGCAATTAGCCAGCACCACTGAGACCCTGGGTTTGAATCGGGGCAGCCACCCGTGGCTAACCTGGTGGTCTTGGACCTGTCACCCATGGACTGCATATGTTGGGTTTGCACTTAATTTTGGCAAAATTCCAGCTTTTGAGAATTGAAACATTGGTGCTGACGGTCATGCGCGTGTGTGTGTGGTAAAGTGCGCCCCCTGTTGTGTAAACATGAAACATCCACGGATTTCTCAGAAATATTTCTGGGGAAAACTCTTGCGCGGCTGCCGTTCTTCGGGGCACATGGGGGTCACACCCCCCCCTACTCCCCCACCGTGATATTTTTAATTGGATGCCTTATGGCACGATGCCGATAGTGTACATGTAACGCTCTGCCACTGATCCGTAATTACTCAGGACGTGTGTTCAACTTGCAGGTTTTATAACCCACACGAAGCAAAATCCACGTTCTCACGTGCAGTCCCCCCAGCCCAGTCACCAATTTACCGACGCGAAACAAGCATCAGTTTTAGTTTTGTTTTACACTAGCATTGGACTAATGCAGTCGCGAGGGTTGATGGTCACGTGGTAAAACCTCCCTTGAAAAGTTTGGTTCACTTTGTTTGACCAGGTGAGAACGCAAGAAACCTGGATACAGTTTCACCTGCAACGGTGACCTGGGCCATTCCATCTACCAGTACGGGGGGTGGCGATGATTGCTTGCTGGCGATGATTGCTGCTGCTGCGATATGATCCCAGCCGAGTAATTTTGCGGGCTGTGTTCTAATTGGACACAAGGCGCCGTCTGGATAGAGAGTTTCCCTGCAGAGCCACCAGCAGTAATCGCATGTGTTTTAGTTTAGTTTATAAATAGTTTGGTTTGTTGTCACTCTCGCCCGTCCTCTGACATTGTTCTCCGGTGAAGAGGATGTTCTGCTGCCTACAGGAGAATTCAGAATTGGACTGAGAGGAGAGCAGAACAGCAAGCCGAATACAACTACAGTAATACCCCGGTTTACGTCGGGGATGCGTTCCTGAAAGGTGCGACGACGAATATCGAAACGACGTAAAATCAAAGAGATTTACGGGGGGGGGGGGGTGGTGGTGGAGGCGAATGCTGAGAGGCGATGGATAACGAGAAAGGACGGACGATGCAAACAGCGACGTAAATATGGGGGTTGAGGACGACGCAAATCGCGTCGTGGTATTAATACAAAGTGACGACGACGACGACGTGTTTGCGAAACGACTAAAAGGGGAAAGACGTAAATCGGGGTGTGACTGCACAACGTGCGTACGTGAATGAACCGGGCGTGCACGCACTGGCATTGGCGTGCACGTGTCCGCACACGCGTGGCGCTCGAACACACACACACACTCGTACATGCGTGTCGTGCACAGATGTGTGTACAGACACACACACACATACAAAAATCCCCCGTATAGCCTTAACAGACTTATGGGGCAAGTGCTGTTAGCGAGCACAGCGCGCGGTATACACACACACACACACATTCGTGTTATATTGCTGCATGCTGGCTCAGATTTTGCCTTACTGACGAGTGAAAATGAAAACATCGGTGGGGGTCGTGTATATATGTGAGGGGTTAGGAAATTAACAAAATCATACAAAAAAAAACCGTCGTGTTAAAAACGATCGCCCGGAAGGCGAGAGGTCAAAAGGGCGGTGCGCGCACGTGGCAACTGTCACAGAGGGCCGCCGGCGGCGTCCTCCTGGCCACGGTCGTCCCGATGTCACTGGGAGGACTCGGCGAGTCTCAAGCATCGGTGCCCGGTCGGTCGGTCGGTCGTTCCTTCATTCAGCGACGGTCCCGGTGACGGCAGCAGCGCAGCAGAGGCATGGCCCTGCGGGTGGACAAAATCGGCCACGACGATGCCGTCGTCGCAGTTGCTACTCGAGCCACCGTCACCTGACCTCGTGCTTGTATTCCAACAGGAGGGAGCGGCAAAAGGAAGTGATTCCGCCGGATTACCGTGTCACGGATCGCCCTCTCCGCTCGGACGCGACTGCTGTCTCGGCTCGCGAAAACACGCGCACGCACGGCACCCGTTGTTTGTCAGTCGGCCGAGGGCCGCCACGCGTCTCGGGCGAATCCAGAGGAAGGATCGCCGGTTTGGAATGAAGACTCCATGCCCATCCCTTCCCCCCCCCCCGTTGTAAAAACTTTAAAGACGTTTTTCCTCTGCCTATAACGGACTGATTCCTGCTATCTGACTTTGCGGTCTCTTCTTTGCCACGTGGTTTTTGCACTTTGGGGGACGAGGGTGAGAGGGGGTCATGCACACGCGTGAGACTCTCAAACGGCCCGTTGGGCTGCAAGGTGGCCACGGGATGAAAGTATTATTAGCAAGTTGGTTCTTGACTCCATCCGTGTGGAAGCTTTTTGTGTTATCCCCCTATTTATGTGAATGTTCTCCGGGTTTCTCATGGATTCCGTTCCTCACGAAGCAATACGCCCATGAAAATTGGCTTAACATGCCAACTGCAGCGACCCTCGTGAAAGAGAACTGACTCCCTGTGCGGTTTTCATGGCTCACGGGCAATATTGTTCTTCTCTCCCCAAACTAGCCTTCAAATAATAAAAAAAGTAAATTACGTTCCTTTCCCGATCAAAGCTCTACTCTTAGAACCGCGTGCCCTCTCAGCCCATCATGCATTGTCTTGACTTACACTTGTATATATGCGTTATAAACTGCATAGACGTTTTTTTTATTAACATGACTTCTGTTGTACAGATGAGTAAACTAACTATTTTAACTAACTATTTTTATTTTACTAGGTAAGGCCCACTGGACTATACAGCTCTTTTTCAGAAGCAACCTGGCCACAAACGATAGCGCAATGAGGTGGCTTATCACGTGGCTATTTATAGCTGCCAAATACTCAAACGCATATTTATAAATGTGGAAGAAAAGACCGGAGGAAAATACACTCGAGCACGGGTCAGTACATGCAAACTCCAGATACACAGGCGTCAGGGATCGGGATCGAACCCACGGCCTCCTGTATACCAGGCGAGGTAGTTTACATCTCGCCACCACTGACAATCTCGCTCTCATCACGCGCGATAGCTGCGTAGGGAGGCGCGATCGCCTATTCAGTCTGGCGGGCGACGGCCTCTGTGATTCACGCGTCCGTGTTCAGTTAAACGGCATCTGTTTTCCAGCAGGCACCATAAAAACTTCCCGCTGTACGGGGCAGTACGGTAAAGCAAGCAGAATCAACATGTGTAACGGAGTTTGGTTGTTTTCTCCTCGTATGCGTGGGGTTTTATTTTTCTGATTATTCCAGATTCCCTCCGCTTGTAAAAAAAAAAAAGCCCACGATATGTTACTTTTACAACATTTTGGCCTTGCATCCAAAAAGAGGTCCCGTATTGAGAGACAGAGAGAGTTGTGAGCCTCAGTGAGGCTGTTTTCTGGGTTCCGCTTTAGTTTGGGGTCCGTTTTTCACGTGAGACCGAGGCCAAATGTGAGGCCGGCAAACTGTAGAAAGGGTGTGTCAGAGAAGTCCGTTTTAGTTCTTCGGCCGAGCCTTTATGACACAGAGACCAGGCTGGGCGACTTTGCCCGTGATGAATCCTCAGGGAGTTGAGTCATCGCCAAGGGCTCTCTCTGCCCGCTGGCCACGTTGCTGAGTGGGCCACGATCGTTTACAGAGGCCATCTGTGGCCAGACATTATTAACCCCTGAAGGTGTGGACAAGGCACCACACGCGACAGTGCAGAGAAATGGGTCGTCATGGGCCCGGGGCAGATGTCTGGCGTGTCGGCACCACCCGAGGTACCAAAACTGAAACGTTAGCTCACTTTTCAGTCCTTTGCCAATCAACTGCTCGTATGTCATGTATGTTGAACTTCCTTCGCAGCATACGTGCATGGTATGGTGGTGGTGGTGATGATAGAGATATCGCGAGGGCTCCTGTATAGAGGCGGCTGTAGCAAGCCGGGCCTCTCCGTGAGCTCCAACCCAATAATTAAGAGGGAAGCTGGCGAAGACGCACCACCCCGGTAGCTCAGCTCGGGACGATGCTGTTCGGGTAACTCCTCGAAGGTCTTCCCACACCGTATTAGTCATCGGGGTCATTTGAACATACTTCATCACGCCGGTTAGATATCACTCTGCACTGATGTTCGCCGTGGCCCGGAGCCGATTCCCAGTCATCGAGCGCATGGCTCAAAACACTGTGCCACAGCTCCACCCATGCACAACTGTAATGGTAGCAATTTATTTCGTCAAATAATCGGGTTAGATCATAATTAATTTCAACTGACCCATGATTCGAGTGGCTCAGGGCTCAGAACTCGAAGTGGACACTCCTGGGATCCTTGATTGTAAACCATGATTCCTCCACCCACGTTTAAACCGGGGTCTTAGGTGGAGTAAATCGATGGTCTCAGTCCAGTCACCAATGGCTGCACACAAAAAAACACCCATGATATTATTATTTTTACTTAATTTGGATGAAATCCAGGTCTGAGAATTAAAAAAAACATTGGCTTGAATGTTGTTTGATAATTATAAAAGGGCATCTGGGATCCCTGCACTGTGTGTGCATTAACGACCGCCTGAAAGGATCTCGGATGTAGTGCTGTGAAACCTGCTTCCACATGCCATCCTCTACCACATGGGGTGATGCATTGCTTTGCGAGAGTTTCCCATGGCTACGTTTGTCTCACGACATGATGCCAATTGCACAAGTGGAATATCATTTGTTGGTGAGGGTGCGGGGGTGGATGGGAAAGGCCAAAAACAAAGTCAAGAATATTCTCTACCACTAAGAGTTCGGCCGGCACGGACTTTTGGTCCAGCCCACGGACTGAAGCAGGTGGCTGCAGTAGCGGCAGCGGCGGCGGTGGTGGCGGCGGCGGCTTCGCAACGGACTCTCGCGACGCTTCCCGTACGGTGACCGTGAAGAAAGTCGCCGCATAAGAAGCGGGGAACGCGCGCCGCGTTTAACCCCGCCGCCTCTTGCCCTTTCTCACGATTTTTTTTTATTCTCTTAAGTGACGCGCTCTATCCTTTGAATTGTCTTCGGTGCACGTTGCCCGCTAATGTTCAGTGGCTTGATATGCATCGGGTGAAAGGTGTTTGCGTTTTGCGCGTATTTCATCGTTTATTTCCCTAGGAAGCGTGCTGTACTCTTGCGACGGTTTCCGCGCTTCGGTGAAGAGACGCCGGCGTCATGGACCGTGGAACACTGCATGGGCCACGCTTTCAGCGAAAAGGCATCGCGCGCTTTGATTATTTCCTGCGACCCAAGAACTGTTCTGAAGAGGGTGGCCTCCCTCGGCTTAGTGTTGGGAACGTTCAGCTTCAAGATTAAAAATCTGGAGGAAGGGCCCCCTCACAGAAGGGCACAGCCTTTTTTCACCGAATCATCATCATCATCCTCCTCCTCGTGATTTTCCTCTCCGAACCCCCTACCCGTAACTCCGTGCCCTCTACACGTTTCCGCACGGAGCGGGGAGACGGCATGGACGGACGCCAGAGGGTTTGACCCATTCGCAAAAATCCGTCACTAAACACCAGCGGCTGCTGCTGATGTCGTCGTCGTCGTCGTGAAATCGCACGATCGTCGTCGGGGTTTTATTTTTAACGCATCGTCGGTAAGCCAACCCCTACTTCACGTCGATACGACTCTTGCCTGTTCTAAGTGAAGGGCTTACCTACAACGACGATGGTGTTGGCGGTCGGTCGGCGAGCTTACTCAAAGGCTGTTTTATGCCCCGGCCATATTAAACGGAGTTCGTGGCGGTGTGGGTTTGGGTTTGTGGGACCTGGGGGGGGGGGGGTCCAAGGTGCGTGTGCACACCCTGGTTCGTCCAGGTCTGCAGCCACTTCTCGGTATGTACAGAAAGTTACGTTTTATTTGGGCAAATCTGTTATTAAACGTTATTTGTTGCCAAACGCCTTGCCGCTTGTTGTTTTTGTTTGTTGGCTGCGTTGGGGAATACGAGAAGCTGCTGTGTGGGGGTGGCGGTGACGGAACGCGCTGCTGCAGCTACCCGAAGGTCAGATTGGTGGCCCTCGTAGAGGTGACGGATCTCCAAAGTAATGATGCAGATATCCCATCGGTGCACGGACGTTCGGTTGACGAAATTTCGCGTTCACGAAAATTGACAAAATTACGGACACTTTTTCCATGAATGGAATTGAATGTCGGCATTGAACGACGTTTCCAAATGGCACGCGCTACGAGATGAAACGAGAAGCCACTCGGGCAATGTAGCGTCATCCATCCCTGCAGTGCAGCAGTAACCCCCCCCCCCCACATCGCCCTTGCCAAGTCATTCCAACATGCAGCCGATCGTTTTCCTTAGAAGGTGAATCATTTTCGTTTTAAATGATCATTCAATCGCTTTAATATTTATGTCCTTTGATATTTTGTTCGTAAAAAAGTTGTATAGGTGTATCTTTTTAGGTTAGGCGTAGAGTTGTAATAACTGTCCGAAACACATCCCCCTGATTTTCTTTTTTGTACTAAATCATTGGAGGAAAAAATAATTCAGGTTTACGGAATTTTGTTGCATGCGCATTGTTTGAAGAACGCATCCCATTCGTAAATCGAGGGATGCCTGTGATTATAATTTCCCAACTCGTAACGCGCTTCTCTCTTCACACAGCATTCGCTCACTCTTTATCCGCGCTTGTGATCGGGAGGGGGTGATGGGGAGGGGGTGATGGGGAGGGGGTGATGAGTAGGGGGTGATCACGAAAGCTTTAATACTTTATTGAGGGGGTGATCGTTATATATATTTAAATGTAATTCTTTTCAGTGTGACCGCCAGAGGACGCACTCACGTGAGCGGACCGAAACAATTACTGATGTAATGTACAGGGCGGTCCAGATGTCTTGTGACCCCTAATTTCATTTATTCCACAAGCGCTGCCCGCTTCCAAGGTGTCTCTCTCCTAGTTCTGTTTTTTTGTTGTTGTTGACCAACACTGATCCTGTGGAGAACATCTTTTTGTTCCCGTCTCAGTATTTTCCATTTTTTCTGGAGCTTCTTTGTTAAACATTTCAAAGAAATCCTTTTGATCATCTTTCTTAGTTTATTCTTCCGCTTTGTTATCTGTCATGAGCCCAAAACGCTCACGAGGAGCCGTTCTTCAATAGTACGTGAACTCGAATCAGACACCTGAAAGAAAGAAGTCATCTTCTTGGTTCTTTCGGTAAAGTCACGTATTATTTCCCTTCTACGTGGTGACTTTACCGAAATAACCAAGAAGATGAATCCCTGCAGTCACGAAAGCTTGAAATCGAAATTTTAAAATAGTAATGTTTATTTGAAACAAATGAATATGCAAAGGAAAAACACATGTTCGCGGTCAATTCATTTGGGGTCACCGGACAACTGGACCACCCTGTAAAATGCGGTAAAACCCGCCTGGGTTTGGCCTCTGTTTTTGAAACAACTCTTCATACGTACAGCATGTCAATATAAACATACACGACACCACATCACCTTGAGTGGACCCGATTACCGCAGATCTCGGACGCCGAGCAGGGTCTGAACATGGGTCAGTACTTGCCTGGAGCTGGGCGGTGGCTCAAATGTGGTGAGACGTTAACTACCTCGCCTGGTCTACAGGAGGTCTTGGGTTCAATCCCGACCCTGACCCCTGCTGTATATTTAGAGTTTGCGTGTCTCTCTATCTCTATCCCCGTGATCGCGTGGATTTTCCCACCACATGTAAAAACATGTGTTTTTAAGAGTACAGTATTTGGCTGCTATACATTTCTACTGGTTAGAATGCAAACAAAAAACGTACTAACCTAGTCTCAAAACGGTGTTAGATCAGAGGACGGTGTTTAGACCTTTTGGCGTCCTCTGGTCTAACACCGTTTTGAGTACGCTTTAAGTTTGCATTCTGACCACAAGCATTGCGGTTAATGCAGACATGATTCTTTGTAAAAGGTTTCAGTTTGGTGTTTTAACATCTTAACACAGCTGTTTTGTTGCCAGAAAAAAAGGGGAAAACCTATTCTCAATTTATTGTGTGTAACATATTGCCAATTTAATTAATTACATTACAAATATACAGTACATATATAGAAACATTTACATTGTAAAGCAATATGAAACAAAGTGTAAAAACCGCCACTCAAATAACTGAAAATCACAAGCCTATGCCTGGAGCACACAATCCAATGCCACAGCTGTTGTTGTACCCAAGGCCGTAATTATAATACTGTATAATGAAATATGCTCAAAATGTCCCCCCCCAATATATTGCTATAAAAATATTTTTTTAAAATAATAATTGCGATGCTATGTTAATAAAAACAACAATTTGCTAAACCTTGGCCACAAAATCTGGACTTGTCTTCATATAACAATGCATAGATTTCTGTTTATATGATTGTGGTTATGGTTGTACTTTATTAAACTCTGCACATTACATACAATGAAACAAAAAAATGTAAAAAAGTAAAAACAGAGCAATGTAACACAATAACACTATTAGACATTAGTGTAAAAAGAAAGTCCATCCCATGTGTTAGTGAATTTTTAAAATATTTTAGGCAGGAAATAGCAGGAAATTCGTTTTCAAATTCAGATTTCTTTTTTCTGGGGGGGGACCCCAGACCCCCTGGAATATTTGGTCCCCCCCACTGTTGACTCCATGGCTACGGCCTTGGTTGTACCCAACAGTTGCTGTACCCAGTTTGTATGAAACTGGGACTGCCTTGCACGCAAGTGATGATGTTGCTGTGCAGTGTTGAGACAGTTACCAGACTGGGGTTGCTAAACGACAACCACTAAAACCGGTAAGCGTTTTCACAACATCAGGAACCAGTGGTCATTTTCAGTGGAAAGTTGGTATGGGTGTAAAAGGTAAAAGTTTATAGAGTCGTGCTCTTTACACACAAAGTGCTTGCCACAAACGAACTACAATACCTTGCTGAACTCGTTAAGGAGCACAGACCATTATGCAAACTGCGGTAATCCTCGCAGCGGCTTCTGGCTAACCATCGAACAAAGACGGTCACTTCAACGCGTGCTTTTAGATGCCCTTCTGCGGCCGTCTGGAACCCTCTTCCTTCCGCTATTAGGAAGCCACTGGAGCTATGCACTTTTAAATACAAATTTAAAACTTAAATACAAATATTATTTGGGTCTTTCGGTAAAGTCACGTACATAGGTTCAAAGAGAACCTATCTATCTACGTGACTTTACCGAAAGACCCAAAGAATATGAATTCCTGCAGTCACGAATGCTTTAAGTCAAGATTTAAATACAAATTTAAAACTCATTTCTTTAGAACTGCTTTTTGTGTTTCATTTGTTGTCCTTCCCCCCCCACCTCCAAAGGTTGGCTACGTACGGTGAGAAAGAAGTTCAACAAACCACCGAGCTGTGAGATGGAATCGAACTAGCGACCTTGTGATTGCAAATCCAGTGTGCTAACAATATGATGGATCAAACTTGGTTACGTTCTCAAATCCATCTGTTCCTCTGCCTGTCTCTCAGTGGACGTTTTGGTAATTGGTCCTTAATCAGAGCCAATTGAGACTCTCCTTCTGTCACCGATTTGATACTTTTTCTCTTTCAAGACAGTGTTAATGGCTAATGGGTTGAGTTTGTTATTATTATTTGTGCCTTTAATAAAAAAAATATATAACAAATCAGTATAGATTACATTGTGTTCTTTATCTGGAGACCGGGAGAACGACGATCGGTTTTCAGTGGCCGCGTTCATAGCATTCGTAGTGATTTCTCACTTAACATATTGAGTGGACCGCCTGAAGGCTGCCACCTTCCACCCTACAACACATTCGTGCGGAGGGAGCTGGTAGGAACGTTGGGTTGCTCGGTCAATGGCCAGGGTCAACAACGGCGGCACCACGTGGTGTGTTCCGCAAATATTCCCGACTGTGAGGGCGAGCACAAGCCGGCGTGAGTAGGTTAAACGTTGAGTTTATAAGGGCACCACGGGGTGACCAGCCCCTCCCCACCCAGCCCCACCCCTCCCACCCCCCACCAAGCCCCATCCTCCCCACCCAGCCCCTCCCCACCCTCCCCACCCAGCCCCTCCCCACCCTCCCCTCTCCACCCAGCCCCTCCCCACTCAGCCCTTCCCCACCCTCCCCTCTCCACCCAGCCCCTCCCCACCCTCCCCTCCCCACCCAGCCCCTCCCCACCCTCCCCACCCTCCCCTCCCTCCCCACCCTCCCCTCTCCACCCAGCCCCTCCCCACCCTCCCCTCCCTCCCCTCTCCACCCAGCCCCACCCCTCCCATTTTTGGATGCACGACGGACGGACGGACACAATAATCCCCTGTGGGCTGGTGGTATAACCAGGAGGTTCCTACCAGTATTATATTCACCTGCCACGATACATCGACGCCAACGATGAGCATTGACAACGTGGAACAACGGCTGATTATAAGGGCGCAAAGAAGCGTGTGCCGTACACGAGGTGCTCGCTGCGGAATTTCCACAGCGTGAGTCTAAACGACGCGGTAGATTGTAGACAGTGGGAGACTTTGGCTCGGTTTTGGAAATACATTCCACTGCCGGGCGTGGCGGCGTCGCCCTGTAATCTCACGATTTGCCGGGCGAGTGTTTGTGGATCACGGAAAGATTATTTAATCTTCCAAAGCCCCCCCACCACCCCATCCGGCTGGGCTCCGAGGTGGTGGCCAAGCGACGGTAGTTCAGCAAGTGGGTTGCTGAAACATTTTTGAGTGTTCTGCCCTCGTATGCGTGGTGTGATTTATCTGGGTGCTCCGGTTATCACCCACACGACGGGAGAACACTTCTAATTGCAAAAGGAATTGGCAATAAATACCGATGAAAGGACCCCGGCCGCAATAGAGTCTTGAGACTCATGGAGGCTTTCCTGGATAAATAAAGGACTTAACTAAATTTAGTGTAAAATGCTGCACCCATACATTAAAACCCATACGATTTACCCATATTCTTGTACAGGGAAATTGAGTTTTCAGGTACATACGGCGTACAACCGTTTCAATAGGACAATATTTTATTTGTTTGTGTTTCTCCCTTGTGATGGGACTTTGTAGAATAAATGTTGAGAATTATAAGCGCACCGGGTGACCAATAAGGTCTGAATTGGTCCGTAATAAGGTAGGCACTATAAGGCGTTGACAGGTATGTGTACCTATTGTGGGTATAGGGAGCGCAGTTCAGACCATGTACAGGTACAGTCCTTTGTCAATCCACTGCGGGATGAGGTCCTGCCAATGCAGCCTGGGGGGTCAGTTCCTAACTATAGTGCACATCACTACCACTGGCTGATTGTTACAGTAATACCCCGGTTTACGCCGGGGGGTGCGTTCCTGAAAGGTACGACGAATATCGAAACGACGTTAATGCAAAGCAATTTACGGGGGTAGGTGGACGCGAAGGCCGAGGGGACGGATGCCGTCAGCGACGTAAGTGTGGGTTGAGGCGACGCAATTCCGGTAGTTGTTTTAATAAAGTGACGACGTATTTGCAAAACAACGTAAACGAGGATATCGCTGTACCTTGATCAGGTAAATCCCTCCCTTAGGTCGACTCAGCCTGCAATTGCTATTGGGTATGAGCATCAGCAATGAGTCAAAGTGAGACAAATAGCGGACGAGTTCTGGCCCTACCACATGCACAGACCTTTTATTAATCCACTGCTGGATGATGTAAACATAGCCACG